ACTCCCCGTTTATTACTTGGAACTGTTTCCTAATCAAATAATAAATATGATCTAAATAATAAAAATGAAAGAAGAAACTAACATTTGAATACCTACCTTGTTCTCTGTTGGGCCTAATTTTGTAACCCTAAACAATTCTATGAGACAAATATATTCATATTTGAGAGGTGAAGAAACTGAAGCTCACAGATGTTAGGTTACTTGTCCAAGGTTGCACAGCTGTAATAGTAAACTGGTGTGTAAGTTCAAACTGAATTTCTGACTCTAATATCCAAAGGTCATACTGAACCATTGGCCTTCAAACCTTGGAGGGGGTTATGGACTTGTTAAAAAATATGTAATACTAAAAAATCCGTACCACCTTTTTTTCATAGTGTGCTATAGGGTGCATGCACTTGGTAGAGGAAAACCACCCCACGGGGGTATGGCCACATCGCAATTTCTTTTCCTCTGGACTTTGGGCATGCACACATACATACCCAGCGTATTTCCCAACAGTGTCCAAGACTCCAACTGGGCAATAAGCTATGTGGGATCCAGTAGCCTAACCACCATGGTGCCTGGCTGGCTCTATCTTTTCTTTCTCAAAAGAAAGGTACACATAGTAACTTGGCATTTAATTTAACAGGGTCTAAACCTGAAGCTCTGGGTCCATGATGCTGGGTTAAGATGCCCTGCGTCAGCTCATGCTGCATTAAGTAGCATATGCTTACTTACTCATGTACCCTACATGTCTCCCATCATGTTTGCAAAGCAATTTAGTTTTAAACTAAATACAAAAGTACAATATTAATGTTGCTTAGAAGACTTAATTATTCCTAGATAGGTCTTTCTTTATCCTTAACTTTGTCTTTTGCTATGAGTTCAGAATATAAGCAGTTTTTCTTTTTTTCTTTCTCTTTTTTTTAAATTTGCCAGAGTACAGAGCCAGAGGGAAGGTATGTGAAATCACACCCCTCCCCCGGGGGGGGGGATGGACACACTGCAATCCCTTCTCCTCTTGGGATCTTGGGCACACACACACACAGGCCTGGTGTGAGTTTAAGCCACCGGGTCCAGAACTCGAACTGCGTTTGGCTACATGGGAGTCCAGCGACATAGCCATTATGCTAACTGCTGATCCCGCTATTCTTATTTATTCATAATGCAACGTTTTATGAGAATAGTTAGGTGTATCTCAAGTAAACATCAGAAGTAACAAAGTGCTGAGACTACTTAATTTACATTTAAAAATAAATTAGCCTGGGACCAGCAGTTGGTGTAAATAGCCATGTCACTGGATTCCCATGCAATTGACCACGGTTTGAGTCCCGGACCTGGTGGTTTAAACTCACACGGGCCACATGTGCGTGCGTGCCCAAGATCCTGAGAGGAGACTGGAGAAGGGATCGCAGCATGACCATCCCCCCTTGCGGGGAGTGATTTCTCGCTTTCTGTCTCTCTTTCTGGCGAGTGTACACACACACACACACATATATAAAATAAATAAATTAGCCCAAATGGCTTAAGACAACTCTAGCTTCCAAATAAAAATTTCAGCAAATTCTGTTACTTGTTAGTAGCTGCAAAACATCAGCTGCTATACAGAAACAATTTGTGCATTATTCAGGAGTAGAGAGAAAACAAGCAGCTGCGGTGGCCCTTTATCTTCCTTGACATTAAAGTACTTTCTATGATCCTGAGCAAATGGTGGTAGGTAGGTAGATATAGTCTCTTTAAAGAAACTGATCATGGATATCTAAAATTAATAGATTTGCTTTATTAACAGACAATCTTACCTAAATATCTCTATTAAATGGTCCGAGAAAGAATTTTAGACAAGAGTGAACCCTAGGATAAAGACATTTCCATAAGATAATTTTCTAAGATACCCAACACCAATTTTTACCCACAGATAAAGAAACCATTTTCATTAAAGTATATAGTCATTCTTTTTCCTAACTCTATTCTTGTTTCCCTATAAACATTATCTTAGTTAAGCATGTATCTGTCAAAGACTTTTCTCTTCCTAAAAGACAAGCCATAATCATCAGGGAGAGGACTCTGGAGCCTAGCCACCCCTTCACTCCAAAGTTTAACAACTGTGTGCTCTTGTATTAAGGTTGTTATGATGATTAAATAGGTGAGTGAATAACTTAAAACTTACCAAGCAGTGCCAAGCACATAGTAAATGCTCAAGAGTCAGAGCCATTAGAGCTCTTCCATAAAACCAAATAGCATCCTCCTAACCAGCCTAGGGATTACAATGGAACACCAAGTTAGAGGTAAATCAACAGATTAATTATGTTCAGAAATATTGCCTTATTAACTTTTTACTAAGAGGTAATGACTTGTGATGCAGAGTAAAGACACTATAATCAATTCTTAAGTTATTAAAATGATGCAGCTATGTGTATGAAACCAATTATTTAGAATATATTAAAAATTACTACGAATATTTATCTTACTCCATACTACCCTTTAAATTTTCGAGTGTCGCATAATTTTATAACTAAATTTTATTATAGCTGAACACTTCAAAGAGATGTAGTTAAATAAATTTTGCTATTAGAGAAAAATCTACTCAGAACATACAATATACATGAATTTAGGGTACTGGTCTAAATATTACCAGCATACAAATCATTTTGTAAAGTTGTTTCTTACATATAGGTTTTAAAATGCAAAGAAAAATGGAATTTGTATTCAAAACAAAAAAGAAGAAACACTGCTTCTATATACTAAAAACTTAAGATACATGTTTTTTTCCTTAAGCACTTTAAATACTAACTGTATGGGTTGATAACTTTAAAGTTTCACTAATATAATTCAACCAGGTATACAAGTAAAGCTCTATAAATAAGTCCCCTATAATAATCATATGCAAAAACATTTTATCACAAATACTACCAAAATCCTCTGAAAAACAGAAATCACAAACACATTTAAAAAGAAATTCTTAGTTAAAACAACTACAAAAGTAATAAACATCAACAAAGTTATTTGGTTTTTTAAAAAAAGGGCAGTATAATGTAAAATTCAAATACTCCAAAGTTGGTTGTTGAAGATGTAGTCTTGAGTTTCTTAATACAAGATACTAAACACTTTCAAAAATAATATGACTTAGTCTATATAATTTAGTCTTGAGCTAGAGCTCTTAAAAAAACTAAGCAGCAGATGAAAAGCAGGTATGTAGAAATAATGGTATAAAATGATTTTATATAAAATGTACCACTCTTCAAATGTGTAAGGCTCAATATGAATGCTTTTGGATTGTGAGTGTTGCAGACCATAATTTTTAGAGAAGTACTCCTGAAACATTCAAAATCCAGTATTTCCAAGCCATTTTGACACTTATGAAGTGAATCTAGTACACACTGCAATTTCATGTCAACTTATCTCATCTATTCTCAAATAAAAATAAGAAATTCTTTGAGCTGTGGAGAGAATATATCTTTTGAATTCTTTATATAAATTTCCTTTTTTTGATGTTGGGATTTTGTAATATGAACATATGTCCACCAGAAATTGGCCCAGGTTTAAACAGAAGACACAGAAGATCCAAAGGTATTGAACAGTTTAAGCCTGCCCTATGCACTTATATAGTCATAATTACTTTTTACATGAAAGTAAAGTGCTTCAAAGTCAAAGTATTTTTTAAAAGATATTAATATTACAAGTACTTAATATCCAAGTATAATTTCCTAGATTAACTCCATGTAACCCATTTCCTTTGCAAAGTATTCTTCAGTCACAATGTAAACAAAAATGGTCCATAAAATGGTGACACTGGACACAGAATTTGTGGTGAGGGCCCTTAAATTGAGACAAAATCCAAATCAATCCAAAGCTAGAGATTTTATTTCTTCTACATACCCAAAGTAATATCAACTCACATTTTCGGTAAGCCTTGAAGAATTTTTATTTAACATAATGAGAGGTTTAATAACTTATATTAAAGACTACGTAGTGCTCTTCTGTTGTGTTCACCAACTGTTTTTATGACGGTAACTCCGAGATCTGGAATGTGCCCGAAAATGGGAATGTTTTGCTGTTTGTGCTTTAGTTTCAGAATTGGTATACCCTCTGGGAGATTTACATGGGGATCTTGCTATGGAGTCAGAATGTCTTCCATGTGATCTTGATTTTGTTCCTGAGCTAGTCTGCTTTTGAGGTGAACTTGATTGTGATTTTCCTATTGACTTGGATCTTTTTTGTAAGGATGTGGACCTTGACCGTCCCCTAGAACCAGAATTCCTTCTTGGAGTTCTTGACTGCCTTGCTGAGGTAGACCGCCTTGGTAGTGATTTGGAACGGGATTTAGACTGGCTGTAAGAAAAACGCCTGTGTCGAGACCTGCAAATAGCAATAATTGTTAGCATATGTAGTTCACACAAAACAACAGGTTAGGAAACAACACTTTCAGGGACTTAAATATTTTATAGAACAATAGTTGTGATTTTACTACATAAGCTAAAAGAAACAATTCTATTATTCATGCTTTTGGCTGAAATGTAACAAGTTGTAATATTTGTAATTCTAAAATATATGACCAAAAGATTCTTACTTTGCTAAATATATCTTATGGTATGAATCAATTCTGAAAAATGCCCTGTATATTTAATCCAAGTTATACAACTTTTAAAAGGAACAAAAATCTGAAGGGAAAAAAAAAGATTTAAAAAGATAGAGAAGACTATTATTTGTTTATTTGTTTTTGAGGTTTTTTTTGCTATAGGGTATGTGAGCCTGCCAGAAAGACAGAGAGACAGAAAGCAAGAAATCACCCCCCAGGGGGGATGGCCACACCACAATCCCTTCTCCTCCATTCAGAAGATCCAAAGGTATTGAACAGTTTAAGCCTGCCCTATGCACTTAAATAGTCATAATTACTTTTTACATGAAAGTAAAGTGCTTCAAAGTCAAAGTATTTTTTGAAAGATATTAATATTACTAGTACTTAATATCCAAGTATAATTTCCTAGATTAACTCAATGTAACCCATTTCCTTTGCAAAGTACTCTTCAGTCACAATGTAAACAAAAATGGTCCATAAAATGGTGACACTGGACACAGAATTTGTGGTGAGGGCCCTTAAATTGAGACAAAATCCAAATCAATCCAAAGCTAGAGATTTTATTTCTTCTACATACCCAAAGTAATATCAACTCACATTTTCGGTAAGCCTTGAAGAATTTTTATTTAACATAATGAGAGGTTTAATAACTTATATTAAAGACTACGTAGTGCTCTTCTGTTGTGTTCACCAACTGTTTTTATGACGGTAACTCCGAGATCTGGAATGTGCCCGAAAATGGGAATGTTTTGCTGTTTGTGCTTTAGTTTCAGAATTGGTATACCCTCTGGGAGATTTACATGGGGATCTTGCTATGGAGTCAGAATGTCTTCCATGTGATCTTGATTTTGTTCCTGAGCTAGTCTGCTTTTGAGGTGAACTTGATTGTGATTTTCCTATTGACTTGGATCTTTTTTGTAAGGATGTGGACCTTGACCGTCCCCTAGAACCAGAATTCCTTCTTGGAGTTCTTGACTGCCTTGCTGAGGTAGACCGCCTTGGTAGTGATTTGGAACGGGATTTAGACTGGCTGTAAGAAAAACGCCTGTGTCGAGACCTGCAAATAGCAATAATTGTTAGCATATGTAGTTCACACAAAACAACAGGTTAGGAAACAACACTTTCAGGGACTTAAATATTTTATAGAACAATAGTTGTGATTTTACTACATAAGCTAAAAGAAACAATTCTATTATTCATGCTTTTGGCTGAAATGTAACAAGTTGTAATATTTGTAATTCTAAAATATATGACCAAAAGATTCTTACTTTGCTAAATATATCTTATGGTATGAATCAATTCTGAAAAATGCCCTGTATATTTAATCCAAGTTATACAACTTTTAAAAGGAACAAAAATCTGAAGGGAAAAAAAAAGATTTAAAAAGATAGAGAAGACTATTATTTGTTTATTTGTTTTTGAGGTTTTTTTTGCTATAGGGTATGTGAGCCTGCCAGAAAGACAGAGAGACAGAAAGCAAGAAATCACCCCCCAGGGGGGATGGCCACACCACAATCCCTTCTCCTCCATTCTCCTCTTAGGATCTTGGGCACACACACACATGTTCCTGGTGTGAATTTAAGCCAGGACTTGAACCACGGTCAATTACATAGGAGTCCAGTGACATAGCCATTACGCCAGCTGCTGGTCCTGAAAAGGCAATTATTTAAAGTTTATTAAATAATGCTTATTAAAACCAAAAACCTAGATGCAGGATTTCTGGGTCCTGCCATGATAGAACATCGTGCACTGGATTAATTTTCCCAAAGAAAACAGCTATGTAAATAAACCACACAACATTCATAAAACTAGGAACCAGCAGTTAGTGTAATGGCTGTGTTGCTGGACTCCCAACTGTGGTTCGAGTCCCGGACCTAGTGGCTTAAACTCACGCCAGGTGCATGTGCGTGCATGCTCAAGATCCCGAGAGGAGAATGGAGAAGGGATTGCAGCATGACCATCCCCCTGGGGGGTGATTTCTCGCTTTCTGTCTCTCTGTCTGTCTCTGTCTTTCTGCGAGCGCACACGCCCTATAGCAAAAACCTCTCAAAAAATATAAATAAACAAAACTGTTTGGGGGCCAGCAGGTGGCACAATGGTTAAGGTGTTGGATTCCCATGTGGTCACCATGGTTTGAGTCCTGGACCTGGCAGCTTGAAACTCATGCCAGGTGCATGTGTGTGTAAGCATAAAATTGTGAGAAGAGAAGAGAGGAGAAGGGAGTGCAGTGTGGCCATCCTCCATGGCGGGTGATTTCTCACTTACTTTCTGTCTGTCTGTCTCTCTCTCTCTGGCAAGCGCATGTACCATCTAGCAAAAATCTTTAAAAAATATAGCAAAAAACCCCAACTGTTTGAAGACACTGAAGAATAAATAACACAAATAGATTGTGAAGGATTATATGTGCCGACTCTTAATAAGATCGTTTTCCAAATGACTACACGGGGAAATTGAGTCCAACTGAAAAATGGCTACTGATGCTACACAGTCTGCCATTATTTCTCTTTCTTTTCTTTTTTCTTTAAATAGAGGTCTTTGCCTTAGGGCATGTGCACTCACCTGAGAGAGAGAGACAATAGAAGGAAAGTGAGAAATCATCCCTCAGGGGATAGCCACACTGCAATCCCTTTGTCTCCATTCTCCTCTTCAGATCTTGGGCATTCACATGTATGTGCCAGTTTGAGTTTCAAGGCACCAGGTTCGGGACTCAAACAATGGTCAGCCATGTGGGAGGCCATCAACATAACCACTACCATTATCTGCTGGCCTGAACCACTATTTGTCTTAAAGACTTCTGCGCTCTGAGCTCCCTTTGCAGTTTGAAGAAGGTATTGCAATCACACTCACACACACACACACACACACACACACACACACGCACAAATACTCTAAGCTGGAGAGACAGAAATTAGAATTCAGGGCTACTGAAATGTCTGAGGCTTCAGAGGCAAAAAGCCCAGATACAAGGTAATTATAGACCAAAAAGATTCCCTAAAATCTGTCTACACATTTTTCTTATGTCACCAGCTATCGTCTAGGTTGTATGTACACATTATGAAACAGGCCAGGAAAAAACAGCAATTAGGATTGCTGAAACTATATAGGACACACAATGCTTCAGAGACGAGCTTGAGTTCAAGGCTCCCCAGTTTTTTTTTTTTTTGGAGAGGTTTTTGCTATAGGGTGTGTGCGCTCGCCAGACAGAGAGACAGAGAGACAGAAAGCGAGAAATCACCCCCCAGGGGGGATGGCCACACTGTAATCCCTTCTCCTCCATTCTCCTCTTGGGATCTTGGGCACGCACATACACGCGCCTGGCGTGAGTTTAAGCCACCGGGTCTGGGACTTCAACTGCGGTCAACTACGTGGGAGTCCAGCGACATAGCCATTACGCTAACTGCTGGCCCCTCCCCAATTTTTTAAGAGAGATTTTTGCTACAGGGTATGCGCACTCCCTAGAGAGACAGAGAGAGAGAGAGAGAGAGAGAGAGAGAGAGAGAAATAAATCAGTCCCTGGGGGTATGGCCATGCCACAATCCCTTCTCCCCACTATCCTCTTGGGATATTGGGCATGCATGCAAACATGCCTTTTGTGAGTTTTAAGCCACCAGGTCTGGGACTTGAATCATGGTCAACAATGTGGGAGTCCAGCAAAGTAACCATTATGCCATCTACTGGTCCCAAGACCCCCAAATTTGAAAAGCCACGTTAACAACCCAGATGGTCATATCCTGGAGGTAAGAGCCATGTCCTAGGAGGAAAAGCAAAGCTAAAACAGCTTTAACGATGCCCCAAATGAAGCCTTAACAAGATCAAGGTGATCTGCCAGTACTCTGCCCATTAAAAGAAAACAATTTTTTTGAGCCTCTATACATTTTCATCCACAAGGTCCAGCATCCAATTAAAAAAAACAAGAACAAACCAAACAAACTACTTTGGGACCAGCAGATGACATAATGGTTAAAGTGCTGGACTCCCATGTAGTTGACTGCGGTTTGAGTCCTGGAGGCAGCAGCTTCAAAATCATGCCAGGTCTGTGTGCATGTATGCCAAAAATCTTGAGATGAGAATGGAGAAGGGGTTGAGGCAAAGGCATCCCCCCAGGGTGTGATTTCTCACTTTCTGTCTCTCTGGTGAACACACATACTCTGTAACAAAAATCTTTAAAAAAAAAAAAAACCTACCATAGGTTATGTGTGTTTACTGGAGAGACAGAGAAAGGGAAGCTAAGAAAACACCTCTCATAGGGGATGGCCTCACTGCAATTCTTTCTATTCTTTCAGGATTTTGGTTAGGTGGGCAAAGGCATTCAGCATATTTTTAGAGCCACCAGGTCTAGGACTCAAACTGTGCAGTCAGTCATGTGGGATCTAGCTGCTTTAACTATCAGCTGGCCCTCAATATCCAACTTATAAAAATCACAAGGTATGTGGGAAAATTAGGTAGAAATAACAAAACAATAAGGAAAGGGACCAGTAGTTAGCGTAATGGCTATGTCACTGGACTCCCACGTAGTCGACCGCAGTTCGCATCCTGGACCTGGTGGCTTAAAACTCAGGCCGGGCGCATGTGTGTGCATGCCCAAGATCCCAAGAGGAGAATGGAGGAGAAGGGATTGTGGCGTGGCCATCCCCCCTGGGGAGTGATTTCTCGCTTTCTGTCTCTCTGTCTCTGTCTGTCTGGCGAGTGCACGTGCCCTATAGCAAAAACCTCTTTAAAAAAAAAAAAAAGTAAGGAAAATAAAAGACAAAAGACATAGTAGTTAAGGTGCTGGACTCCCACATGGCTGACTGTGGTTTGAGTCCCAGATTTGGTGATTTGACACTCACGCTGGATGCGTGTGCAAGTATGCTCAATATCCCAGGAGAATGGACTGCAGCATGGCCATCTTTCTTGGGGAGAGATAGCTCACTTTCCTTTTTACTGTCTTTGTCTCTCTGGTGAGCCCACATGTCCTATGGCAAAAATAGAAAAAACAGAAAAAAATAAAGACAAAAGAAACAGATCTAGAGTGAGTTAAAGATTGGCATTATTTATTTATTTATTTTTAAAGAGATTTTTGCTATACGGCACATGGGCTCACCAGAAAGAGAGCGATAGAAAGCAAGAAATCACTCCCTGGGGCAATGGCCACACTGCAGTCCCTTCTCCCCCATTCTCTTCTTGGGATTCTGGGTACATAAGAACACACACCTGGAGTAAGTTTTAAGCTACCAGGTACGGGACTCAAACTGTGGTAGACTATGTGGGAGAGTCCAATGATGTTAACCATTATGCCCTCTGCTGGACCCAATATTGACATTACTGTACAGGAATTTAAAAAATTACTTGAGCTGGCTCTGTGGCCTGTTAAAGTAGCTAGAATCCCACATGGCTAACTATATAGTTCAAGTCCCAGACCCAGCAGCTAAAGAAACATACTGGGTGTGTATACCTGCATGCCCAAAATCCCTAAGAGGGAGAGATGGAGAAGAGATTATGTTGAGGTGGTGTGGTGGTTAAGGGCACTGGACTCCCACATTGTTGACCGCAGTTCGAGTCCTGGACCTAGCAGTTGGTGTTCGCTCACTCGCTCTCTCTCTCTCTGTCCCTTTCTGGTCAAATTAAAATAAATAAATAAATTGAAAAATAAAGTTAAATAAATAATTTTTAAAAAAGAGAGATTATGTGACCATTCCCCATGAGGGATGCTTTTTCCTTTACTTTTCTCTCTGGTGAGCAATGTGCTCTTTAGCCCCACCCCCCCCCCCAAAAAAAATGCTATGACCATTATGCTCAAGAAAAGAGAGAGTTAAAACAGATGAAAAGATGAAACATTTCATGGAAAATTATCAATATATAACATCTGGAATTAGGGAGTCACTAGATGTATTTAACAGCAATCTGGCTAAAGTAGAAGAAATAGTGAAATGAAAGTCAGATCATTAGAGAAACATTCTACTGGGGCCAGCAGGTGGCATGGTGATTGAGGGTGTTGGACTCCAAAATGGCTGATCATGGTTCGAGTCCCAGACCTGGTGGCTTGCTTTCTCACTCTTCCTCTCTCTTTCTTATTCTGTCCCTCTTTAGACAAATTAAAATAAATAAAGTTAAATAAAAATAAAAATAATTATTTGAAAAAGAAAAACACCCTACTGAAATACAGTAAGAGAAAACACATTTTAAGAAATCCATACGGGGGCCAGCAGGTGGGGTAGTGGTTAAGGGGCTGGACTCCTACATGGTGGACCAGGTTTTCAGTCCTAGACCTGGCAGCTTGAAACTCACACCAGGCATGTGTGCATATATACCCCAAATCCCAGGAGGAGAAAGGACTGTGCCATGGATATCACCCTAGGGGGTGATTTCTCACTTTCTCTCTCTCTTTCTCTGTCTCTCCGGTGAGTGTGCACACTCTATTACAAAAATCTCTACCAAAAAAAAAATCTACACATAGTACAAGATAAATATGGTACATAGTCACATGGCCAAGAGATAATAGAAGTAATGGCCTAGGGATAATAACTTATACTTTTCAGAATTCTTTGCTATAGGTATGTGTGTTTGCCAGAGAAAGGGAGAGAAAGAGGGAGGGGAAAAAGCACCCCCTGGGGGGGACGACCACCTGCACTTCATTCTCTTAGATTCTTGTCTTAGGGGATGGCCATGCCACAATCCCTTCTCCTCAATTCTCCTCTTGGGATTTTGGGCATGTATAGATACACACCTAATGTGTTTTATAATCTGCTGGGTCCAGAATTTGAATCATGCAGTTGGTCATGTGAGATCCAGTTGCCTTAACCATCATGCCACTGACTGGCTCAGTTACTATTTTAATAGCTTCACCATGTAATTTATTCCAACTGTGTTTTACCATTAGCCTATAGAAATAAACTAGTGGCTAGCAAAATAACTAACTTAAAAATATTGTTTCTCCAAAATCTACTTTATTTTAATGTCTTCTGCCAATTCTGCCATACTTAGAATGAAAAAATACATACTTATTTAATTTTATTTATTATTATTAGTTTTATTGTTTTATTTATTAATTATATTATTATTATTATTTCACATGAATTTTGCCAGAGAAAGACACACACACAGAGAGAGAGAGAGAGAGAGAGAGATCAAGCCGTCAGGTCCAGGACCTGAACTGTGGTTGGCCTTGTGGGAGTCTAGCACCTTAACCACCACGCCACCTGCTGGTCCCGGAATTTGTTCTTTGATAATAATTTTACCAGAGCCAGCAGGTCGTGTAGTGGTGATGGTGCTAGACTTCTACACAGTCGACCATGATACCAGTCCTGGACCTGGTGGCCTGAAAAATCACACCTGTGTGCATGTGTGCTCCAAATCCCAAAGAATGGAAAAGGGATTGTGGCATGGTCATCACTCCTCAAGGGTGATTTCTCACTTTCTGTCTCACTGTCTCTCTCTGTCTCTGGCAAGCGCACGTGCCCTATAGCAAAAAATAAAATATTAAAAAATAATAATTTTTCCTTTTTTTTTTTTTTTAATTGTGAGAGGGTGTGTGCCCTCTCCAGGGAGAGGGAGAGTGTACAAGAGAGAGTAAGAATATCCCCAACTGGGGTGTAGTTATGCCACAGTATTTTTCCCTTCCATTTCTCCATCTCATCAGGATTCTGGGCATACAAACACACTTACCCAGCATGTTCTTCAAGCTGCCACAGCTGGGATTTGAATCTCGGGAGGCTATGTGGGATCCAGCTCCCTAAGCACAGCATTTAACTGCTATACTACAAGGCTAGCCCAATAATTTACCTTCTATAAATATATTCAGTTCAGACACCTTCCTTTAAAAGTGACTGTATTACAGTTCTTTTGAGTTCAATCATTTTCAGAACTCATATTCTGAATTACTGGACTCACTTTTAAAATTTTTCACCTTGTCTGTGCAAGTTTTTGTAATTTTTTTGTTTTTGTTTTTTTCCAAAGGGTACCTGCCTTGTCAGAGAGGAAGAGAGAAAGGACAAAGAACTCTCACCCACTCCATGGGGAATGGCGATGCTGCTGCAACCTTTCCTTCAACATCTCTCCCTCCTTTCAGATTCTGGATGTGCATGTACACATGCTGACTAAGCTGCACGATCTGAGACTCAAACTGCACCACACTGTTGGCCATGTGAGATCCAGCTGCCTTAAAACACCAGGACATAGAATTGGGCCTTTTTTGTTTTTGCTTTTGTTTTTGCCATAGGGCATGTGCACTTGCTAGAGAGAGACAGAGAGAGAGAGGGAAAGTGAGAAATCACCCCCCAGGGAAGATGGCCACATCACAATCCCTTCTCCTTCATTCTCTTCTTGGGATTTTGGGCACGCAAGTACATGTACCCAGTATGATTTTTAAGCCACTGGGACTCAAACTGCGGTTGGCCATGTGCGAGTCCAGCACCTTAACCACCATATCACCTGCTGGTCCCCAAGTTGGTTCTTTTTTGCCTTTTTTTCAGTATGTATTCTCCTTCCATTTAAAAAGTTAAAGTTAAGTCTGTCATGAAATGAAAACACTGTAAAGGTATCTAATAAATTCAAATTAAATAATAATACCTGATAGAAAAAAGCATATCTTTCCACAAAAGTTGATTGCTTATATATTTTAAACAAAATGATTCTTCAAAATGTTTTCAGAAAAAGTGAAAAATGAAGTTTTCACTCCTCTTGTACTTTGTACTCACTCTTTAAGGCTGTCAGAACGCCTCCTGTTTCTTCCCCATGAAGAACTTCGACTTCGAGTTCTCCTTTGGCTGGGGCTTCTTGATCTCCTATGATCACTTGGAGAACAAGGATGACGCTCTTTTGATTTCATTTGCCCTGGTGCTAGAATATGAAGAACAAGACCTATAACATAATTCATTAACTGAAAAACAAAGTAACAGTCACTCAATTAAGTTATCGTTTTCTGAAAAAATTTTACATTATAAAAAACTGTCATTGCTGAAACTCATTCTACTGAATAAATATGATCCAATGCTTAGTCACACTTACTTTTGCGATCACCTTGTGCAAACTGTATTTCAATTTGACGGCCACATACCCATTTTCTATTGAGGTTATAAAGAGCATCTTCAGCATCTCGAACATCTTCAAATATGACTAGCTGTTAAGGACACTTTGAACATTAGATATCAAGTAAAACTACTTTCAAAATACAATTTACATATGAAATGAAATTAATAAGAAAAACAGTTCAAATGATTAAGCTCACAAGCCCTACTATGATTTAGAAGAGTGAATTTTTTTAAATAAATTTTTTAAATTATTTTTATTTCATTTACTTATTTTTAAAAATTTGATCAGAAATAGACAGGGAGAGAGAAAGGGAAAGTGAGAAAGCAAGCCACCAGATCCGGGACTCGAACCGTGGTCAGCCATGTGGGAGTGCAGCACCTTAACCACCATACCACCTGCTAGCCCCTAGAAGAGTGAATTTTAAAAAGAACAGAAACGAATGTGTAGCTGTACTTTTAATGTGTACTAGCATAGATGCAGAATGCACGTAATAACTTGAAACAGGTTATAAGAAGAAAAAGTTCAAAATTAGTACTATAAAATAACCTATTTAGGACTCACTCCCTTCTTTCAGACAAAGGATCCATCAGGCTTTTCATTGAAACTATCAGCATGCAGAAGCCTTTATTCTGAAATTAAAATTACTTTTTCATTAAAAGGCTTTTTAATTATGACATTTAGAAGAAATTATTTATAAACAAAATCGCATACACAGTGGGCTAAAACAAAAACTAATTCAGTCCTTTAAAAATGACATCTACCTTTGAACCTAACCACTTCAAACATGTTCTTTATATTTTTATTACTTGGGATTTAAATATAAAAGAAACAAAAACAATCTGCAAACACCTGGAGCTGCTTACATTGGATTGTAACAATCCACTAAACTCCCTCATTTATATAAATTATGTAATATAAACCTAACTATAATGGAAATTAGCAATATAAAACGATTAGATAACTATTCAGGAGGTTGTTCACTTGTTTAACTTTTTAAAAATTAGCAAACAGAAAAAGCTCAAGAAATGCAATACAAAATGAGACTTTGGCAATTACCTCAATAGCACTTGATCTTGAACCTTGACCTTTACTCTTTAAGGCTTCCAAGATGGACTTTATAAGAGACGGAGAACCAACAAAATCAGACTTGGCTTTGACTCTGGAACTCTGAGTAAATGTAGGAAAGCCGAAGTCTCAACCTGGTGTTGGCTTTGTCTTTTGCTTGATAAAGACTTCCCCTCTTCCAGGTCTTTATATCTGTGTCCACCCTCCCTCTTTACTCCTTGGTGCTTGAACTTTAGGTGCCTTTTGTCTTGCCTGCTTGGATTCTAGCTAACAGGTTGGTTCAAACTGGGGGGCGCTTGCCAGCTACTGTGGACTGCATTAGATTTTCTGAGATAAAGAAATAAACACATTTAATTAGGCAATATTAGTCTTATATGTTCCTGAATATATATATATATGTATATATACATATATATATATGTATAAACACATGTATGCAGTATATTCACATGCACACGATAAAATAAAGGATATTGAACATAAGCAAATCCTCTTGGGCGGCGAGTGTAGAAGTCAAGTGGAATGTAAACGTCTACTATAGGACCATATCGACCAAACTCACGGCGCAAGTCCTCAGGCCTGAAGTGTTTTAGAAATAAGGCAAAAACATATGAATTGCTGGATTAAAATATTTTGCCCACAGAAATGCAGTTGAAACTTTCAAAAGAAAGTCTTAGCATTAGCTAAAATTGTCCCTAGTAAGCATCACCCGAGATTTTAAAAGGAAGGAAAAAAATACAAATTCTCAGGCCTCTCTTTTGGAGATTCTGGTTAAGGAAGTCTGGATTAGAGACTAATAATCTGTATTTTACAAGCACTCCAGGCAGTTGTTTAGTCAATTCTGAAAAACACTAAACTAGAACATCCACCTTTGAAAGTTATTCCCATTACAAGTCTCAATAATTAACTGCCTCACTGACAAGACATTCATTTGCTGTACTGTAATTTCATGATTATGTTAATCTTGTTTTCAGGTAGAAGGAATTAGGACTCTAAAAAAGTCCTAAAATTAGTTACCAATCTCTAAATAAAAATGGATGTTTTTACTATTAAATATAAAGAAAATAACTGTGTATTCTCAAATTTAAAAAAATATATGTATTTTGCTAATTTGTATGCGGACTGGCCAGAGAAAGAGAGAAAGCACTCCCTAGTGGGGCATGGTCATGTCACAATACCTCCTTATTCATTGTTCCATCCTGTGAGGAAATCAACCATGCACACATACAGACCTGTTGTGTTTTTCAAGTTGCCAGATCTGGCATTCAAGCCATGATCACCCATGTGGGATCCGCTTCCCTCAACACTAAGCCATCGGGCTAGCCCTGTATTCTCAAACTGGACAGGTATTTTAAGTCTCATACATGTCTTCTACTGTGATAGGTACTGAAGAGGGGATACCAAAAAGGTATTTAGCATGCTATTTGTCTTCACGGAGCTACACATTAATTGAAGAGACAAAATACTTAGCAGTTATAGTTGACATCTACAGTGCATTTATATACTAGCCACTTCGCACCTTAGACCACTTAAATCTCACAACAATCCTATGGTTTTTACAGACAAGGACAGAGACAGATTAACATTCCTAAAATCACTAAGCCATCATGA